ATGTAAAAAATTTCTCCGACTCAAGGCTCTGCAACCTGATTTGGCACACCATCTTTGTACTTCAAGGTGAATGTAGAGTCTTGCCAGTATGCTACCCATTTAGCATGTTTGGCTGACGATTTTGCCTGGATGTTCATATGCTTTAAAGAGTCATGATCGGAGTACGTAACAAACTATTTGTAGATCAGATATTGCCTCCAATACTTTAATGCTTGAACAATGGCATAGAATTCCAAGTCGTATGTGGAATAATTCAATCTTGAACTACTCAATTTTTCATTGAAATAAGAAACAAGCTTCCCTTCTTGAATTAGAACAACCACAATAACAATCTTGGACGAATCGCAAGATATCTCAAAAACTTTTGAAAAGTTAGGTAGCACGAGCAACGGAGCCGAGCTCAACCTTTTCTTGATTTGCTCAAAGGCAGTTGTTACTTCTATAGGTCTTGGATTAAACTCACACTTTGTTATTTTCAAACACCTTTGGAGATCAAATTAAAAGATCAATTCTTGTAAATAATTTACTTAAAAGATTGTAATCGTAAAACATTCATTTAATGGAATTTATTATTATGTAAACGTATTATTGGTTCATTCGAACAAGAACGATTGAATTTACAACCAAATTTAAATAATAGAATATATAAAATATAAACAATAGAACACAATATCTTGAAGACGGTCAAACCTAAACATAAGCGTCCCTTGTGTCTTCCTTTGATGTTGGAACCCAATGTCTCATTTCTTTCTTTTAGTTTTATTGTTTCTTACTTTCTTCGTACAAAGGAATAAACCATGGCCATACAACATTCGTGACCAGATCCTAATTTCTTGTCCAAACTCGATGTTTCACTTTTCTCCAACCCCAACGTTACATAGCTGATGCAATCAGTAAATTTAGACAGAACCAGTGGCGTAGTCAGGATTTTTAAATAATGGGGTCATAATATCAACCAAAAAAGCTTCATTGGGCAATTTCGTAGAGCACCTAGTAGGCACCTGCCGATTTCTGTCAACATATGCCAAAAGTTTATGCCAATATATGTCGACAACTTTTGTTGAGGCTTGTCAAGGGTGGCTACAGAATATTGTAGAGTAATGTTGAAGGATGTCAAGGCTTTTCAAATAAATTATTTTCATAAAAGAATAGAAGTAGGAGGAGCCGGAGGAGGTTGTAATTTAGTTTGCCTTCAAAAGCCCCATGCAATTTGTTTCATACAACCTCCTCCTCCTACTTCTTCTATTTTTTTCCATGGGAATTGTTATTAGCACTCCAAAAATCTCATTCTACACTCCAAACTTTCTATATTAGGAAAGAAAAATACACTAGTGGAGAGTGTAGAATGAGATTTTTGAAGTACTAATAACACTTACATTTTAATTCTTGTATGAAATACTTAAGTTGAAAAGTCTTGACATAAAATTCTAGAATTAATATAAATTAAACAAGATCAAGACACTTAAAATAAGTTTACAACTCAAATTTTAGTATTACCATTCAAACAACTTCTACATCTCTTTTCTGTGTTACAAATACATATATTTATAGGCTTACAAAAACATATATTAAATATCTAAAAAATGCATGTATTTCATGCTCTGATACCAACTAATTCAAGGAGCAACGTGGTGAGAAATACAATTCTAGAATTAATATGAATTAGAATGAATACATATGATAGATAGGTATGGTCCACTATCTTCAAGTGTAAGGAGAGACTTGAAAACCTCAAACCACGTCTCTAGTACCAACCTACAGCGTAGACAACTAGAAACAAAGTAACAACTCTTAAACAAGAGCAAGGCACTTAAAATGAGCTTACAACTCAAGTTTCAGTATTATAATTCAAACAACTTACATCTCTTTTATACCTTACAAATACATGTATTTTTAGGCTTACAACTTAAAAATGAGAAACATGAAAAAAAACAAATGAAATGAAGGCGAATAAATATCAATTTTAATATAGGTTTTAAAGAAAAACACCAACTTCAAGGAAATCTACCACTCCCTTTCCCATTCTAGTTGGATAAAGCACAAAAACAATTCTATTTTTGTCCAAATTGCACATGACCGACACGCTACTGGTGTTAGTGCCATAAATTGTCGTCAACCACCGTCATTGTGGCCAAAAAAAAATTTCCGGTCGCCGGAGAATTTCAAGTCACTAAACAATATGTACAACATTTTCATCTTAAATAATGTTTTGTTGTGTGAGTTTATTGTTTTTTATATGTATACACAAAAAAATTAGGGATTTTGTTACAATACTTACATGTATTTAATACAATTACATACCTATTGTCAAATTGTGATTGTATTAAATACATATATTCACATGAATATATATTAGATGATGAATGTATTGAGTACATGTAAGCATTATAGTCAATTCTTGAAATTAGAGAACTTATGAGAAAAATCATTACTTAACATGGTTTTTTTTTATGACTAAGACCTGAAATCTGGTTGGCTGATCGCCAAATAAATTGATCAACCTGTCGCAAAAAAAAGTTAGATAGTCGAAAAAATGTGTTCCAATTGTGCGACAATCATGTAATTATTGTGAATTATACTAGTATTTATAGAATTATATTGGTTGACTTTTGCATAGGCACCTAAACTATAAACATAAACATGCTAGTTTAGCTCAAGTCAATGCGGTTCACTCTGCATACAAGTTTCCAATGCAAAATTAAAACTTAAAACTCAATGGCCAAGACCTTTCTTCCCATGTTTGGATTGGACCAGCCTCAAAGGGAATCTTTACTTAATTAAATATTAACTATAATGTCGATCCAATAATGGAAGGGATCCTTTCGATAAAAAAATGGAAGGGATATCCATTTTTTTCAAAAAATGAGATTACTTGGAAGACCAACCCCACTTCGAACTTTAACAATTCGAATCATCTATTTTGTAAGTCTCAATTCATAAATCATCCTAGCAAAATTCAATTCAATTTAAAACCATTTGTCTGTTTAATTTCTTTGAACTGAATTAGATGCCTCAAATATTTATAATTTGGCTAATATCTTGAAAATAAACGATTCAGATCGTTATAGTTCGATGTAACGTGGGTCTCACAATTAAAGCTCATTTTTATAAAATAATGGAATCCCTTCTTTAAAGGCTCTCTCTCTCTCTCTCTCTCTCTCTCTCTCTCTCTCTCTCTAAAGTTCGATATAACGTAGGTCTCACAATTAATCCTCGTTTTATAAAATAATGGAATCCCTTCTTTAAACACAAAATATATATTGTGAGATTTGGCGTGCTTTCCACCCGCCTGTAGCTCAACATGTCTCTTGGTTGGCATCTGCTAAAATCTCAATGTAAGGCTGTCAAAGGTAATAAGATAGTATACTTGCTAGCTAGGAAAATCTTGAGAAACTTCATACGATTGCAAAGCAAAGAGAAAAGTTTAAAGCACCGCACCAATAATATCCGTCTACGGTCATTAAAATAACATCAACCAGTTAAAAGTCCATCATCATCATCATCAAACTGTGTAAAAAAAAAAATCCACACATAAAGCAGCACCGGATCAACAAGCCAAGCCACCCAAGTTTTTCTAAAGGAATACATGCATTCATCGAAATTGCAGCATACCAAGGATAGTAAAGAAGCACCAATTAAGAAGAAGAAGGAAAAGAAAAGGAGGACGGGATATGTTATCGCTATTCCTACACTAATATAACATTGTAGGTGTTCGAATCCAGAGATTCCAGAAGCTTTAAGCAAGTTTCAAATCAGCTTCTTCTTTCTATGCAGTTGCCAGGTTAAAGAAAATAAAAGGCTCTAGTGACGTGGAGTACATGAGATAATTCAAACTGAATAGATCAAACTTAATAATTCAAGCTTCTGAGAGGTTCACCGTCACATTTGGTTTAACAATCTAATGAATCATAAGAGGAAAACAAGATGGAAGTCTGAAACATCATCGCATTACTGTACCTGTCCAAGAGATATGAGCTATAAAAGAGAGTTTCAGATGTGAATTTACCTCTACAATTAGAATCACATACAACTTCAACAGCAGTAATTTCTTCCTGATGGCCCTCTCATGAAAGAAGCGTGCACTCATAAAAAATAATAATAATAACCCTTCTATCCACCACCCAGATTAAGACACAGACGGAAAGAATGTAGCATACAATAATTACAAGATTATGTAGATTTCTCTTCATTCTAGGCTTAACTACAATATCAGGTTGCAAGCTGGACAGGTAAGCCAAAACGGGTGGTAAGTAAGACGGATGTAATAAGATGCACAGTTCAAACTTTTGCCTAACCAAAAGTAATCTCATGGAATTAGAAACTAAAACCGTAATCCAAACCTCAAATCTTACATAGGAATACTAGGACATCTTCTTTCACCATGCAGTTACAAGAACTCAGACAGAATATCATCACTGAAATTTTATAACAACCCACTGAAATTCTATATAGTTTGAACCTTGAAGTTTTTGAACTTTCATTTGTAAGCTGATATATTATGTGATAAAGAAGTAACTCTACTAATAATTATCATCAAGCTTAATGTTTAAACGGGGATCTAATACTATAATATTTTACTATAAATGCCATTCCCAATCCATTTGCATAACATCTAAATTTGGTCACTTGCATTACAAATTTGCAGGCAGTAACTCAATGGGACTCTCACATATTTGTCATTCAAGGATGCTGCTAGCTCAACTAATCCATTCATAAAAAAAAAATTCTATTCACATTTGTCTAAACTATTACGATGTTAACCAAAAAGAATTGAAACTGAGTGATCTCGGTTTGCCAATCCTTCTTATGTGTTTACGTTTCAATACTAAGGAAGAAAGAATAGAGGACCTCGTAGCAACACCTATATCCCAGTCCATACGCAAGGGAACCCTCAAACAATAAAACAGGTCTGAATGACTTATATGATGCAAACATGAAAGAAGATATGAGCAATAAAGCGATCAAAGCACCAACGAAAGATATAGAGCAAGATCAAAATATAAGATCAAGAAGCATTAAGATAACCTTCTAATAAAATGAGAATTGTTTCAACAGACCCCTAGCATCAGGGGGTTTAAGTTGTCCACAAACTTACAAAATGTACAACAAGTAAAACTTACCCCTATATGATACTAAACTAAGAGATACACGGCACAACTCCCAAAAGCCAAGAAAAGCGGTGCCAAATGCGTCCAAACACAATTACCAACTGCATCTTTAGATATCTAGAGAACCTAAGGAGCACTTTTGCTAGCATTATTTATCCTCATTGCAAGCTCAAAATTAGTTAACTGTTGCTTCTTCCAATCCTACCAGGCTACCAGTCATACCAATGAGAAAAACTCTGTCTTGAAAGAAACCCCAGTTGATTCCTTACATAACAAGGTAGAAATGAACGTCTAAGAAAGCCGGATTGATCGACCATCATCATACCACTATGATTTTTACCAAAGAAGAGCTTCAATTAATGTCGCTCGAATGACATCACAATCATTATCCCCAGATATATATTATAGACTGCAACCAGCAATATAATTACAAAAGTAGCAGTCCAGAGAAAAGGACACATGGATACAGCCCTCCTAACACTACTGAACTCATAAGGACAGCGAAACAAACCCCGATGGCAACAAATGAATAATAACCAGAAATTTTGGATCTGCAATAAGGATTCACGGATCTCATCTGAAGCCCAAACCACCCGCTAACACAACAAGGAAATCTAGTGTATTTTCTAACAAATACAACCAGACACCAATTTTCACATGACCCAGAAATTAAAATGAACTTAACAGTAGAAAGATGGAATGAGAAGAAAAAGAAAAAAAAAAAAGAAAAAGGAACAAAGTGATGACATTTACCCAAAGTCAATCATCCCCAGTTGGAAATAGAGTAAGAACTTTCCTGCCTCCAGTTGCATTCGCTGATTCCAACTCCTCTACATAGCCTGGCACTGAATTGTGCAGCGGTGCCCCCATCCTATGAACCGGCTGTGACGACTGCCTCGCCAAGAATGGGTGCTCGAATTGCCCATTTGGTGGCGACCCAAAATGCCCCACCTGCCTGTGATACTGCGGATGGGCTGCCACTGCCGCTGCAATCTGCTGCTGCTGCTGCTGGTGATGGTGGTGCTGCTGCAGAGCCACCGGCACAAACGGCATGAAATGCTCGGAATTGGGCCGGCCCCCAGGGTGCGGGTGCAGGAAATGAGCCGGAACTGGGGAGCTGGCGAACAAATGGTCAGTGGCGGGATCGGCGGAGGCGGCCAAGCCAGCAGCACCCGCGCCGGCAGCCCCAGCAGAACCTCCAGACAAGCCCTGCATCCGCTTGAGATAAAGACGGTACTTCTGCAGATGGCTGGCAACATTCTCGCGGGTGAGGCCGTCGACGCTCATGAGCTGCATTATGGTCTTGGGGACGGCGTTCTTGATACCGAGGTGGGCGACGGCGTCGACGAAGCGCTTGTGGAGCTGGGGGGTCCAGACGAGGCGGGGGCGCTTGAGGGTGCGGGCGGGCTCATCGCCGGCGGCACCGGAGCCCAAGTCAGCGGAATCGGCGAAGTCGGCGGAGGAGTTGGGGTGGGTGGGGGTAGTGGGAGGGAGGGAATTGGGAGGAGGAGGAGGGGGAGGGGGTGTGTGGGGGGGTTGAGGTGGGGGTTGAGATTGGGAATGGGGAGGAGGGGGGTGCTGGTGGGAGATGTCAAAGGCGAGGGCAAGATCTGGAGTGATTAGGGTTTGGGATAAGGGCATGAGTTCGTCGGGAGTAGGCAGCTCTTCCTCCCATCTGGAGAACCAATTGGACTCATCATCTTCCCTCATTATTCAATTCAATTCAATTCAGATGATTGATCCGATCCCGACAAATCGAAACACAGAGACAGAGTCAGATGTCGTGTAAGAGATTCATCCTCCTCCTTGGACCTAAAAGAGACGGACTCACAGCAGCTCGGTTTTGCTACTTTGCTAGTGTCTTCTGGGGGAGACTGAAGGTGATAGAATTGTTGTAAGCTGATTGAGAGAGTGAGGGATTGATTGATGATTCTTGCGGTTTGGAGCTGGACGGAGGAGGAGTGAGGAGGACAGAGAGGTTCGACGTGGATCTTCTTGTCTCTTTGTTTCTTGTTCCTCATTTTTATTTGTTTTTATTTTTTATTTCTATTTTCCGGATTTGGAGGAGCATGATTGGGTGTTACAATTTCGACGTACTTTTAAAGTAATTTAGAGTGTTTTTGGCTAAAAGCGAAAATGTTTTTGAAATCAATCCTTATTAAAAAAAATTCAAGTAGATTTTGAAAAAGTACTTTAAGTGTTTTCTGCAAAAAACACTTAAACTGCTTCTTGCAGAAAACGCATATCTTATACTTCTTCCAAAGAGCTTTTGAAACTCAAAATCAATTTCATCAAAAATACTTTCTGTTATTTTAAAAGCATTTTTAAACTAAACATGTTACTCCCGCAATAACTTGTAGCCGCAGAATGCAAGCTCTCCTGTCATTCAACAGCCGGAGCCAACCAAAGTTATAGTGGAAGTAGTAACATCATCAAGCAATCACTCGTTTAATTACACGATCTCAAGAGCATAACTTTGGCAGCTACGAAAGAAGGTTACAAGTATCAGATGCGCGTTCGTTACACGATTTACTCGCATCCTTAGGACGAAGGCACATTGGATTTGTTAGATCATCTCCGTTGTAGACAAATAAAATAAGTAAAATTATATTATATTAGTTAATGTGACAAATTATGTACTCAATTTTCTCGTAGAAAGGCAAACAAATTTGGCAAAATTTTATTTTGTTACACTTTCGCACTAGAAATTCAAATATAACCCCTTAAAATTCAAATTTTGTTCCCCTTTGAATTATATATGTATTGCAACTAGCCCTAGCTCACACACAATGAATGTGAAGCCGTTTTTTTTTTTTTTTAAATTTTAAATTTTATTTTAGTCTTCTTTTGGGAAAATATATCGGAGAGAGATGTTGGAGAAAAATGTGAAAGAAAGGAGGGGAGTGAAAGAGAAAAAACGTGGAAATGGCGAGAGGTCTTTATTTATATTTTTAAAATAGAGATATGTTATGTGACATCCCACATCGCCCAGGGGAGTGATCCTTATATGTATATTCTCATCCCTACCTAGCACGAGGCCTTTTGGGAGCTCACTGGCTTCGGGTTCCGTAGGAACTCCAAAGTTAAGTGAGAAGGGGGCTAGAGCAATCCCATAATGGGTGACCCACTAGGAAGTTGCTCGTGAGTTCCCAAAAATAAAACCGTGAGGGCGTGGTCGGGGCCCAAAGCGGACAATATCGTGCTACGGTGGTGGAGCGGGCCCGGGAAGTAGTCCCGCCCGGGCCGGGATGTGACAATTTGGTATTAGAGCCTAACACTGGTCGCGTGTGTGCCGACGAGGACGTCGGGCCCCTAAGGGGGGTGGATTGTGACATCCCACATTGCCCAGGGGAGTGATCCTTATATGTATATTCTCATCCCTACCTAGCACGAGGCCTTTTGGGAGCTCAATGGCTTCGGGTTCCGTAGGAACTCCAAAGTTAAGCGAGAAGGGGGCTAGAGCAATCCCATGATGGGTGACCCACTGGGAAGTTGCTCGTGAGTTCCCAAAAACAAAACCGTGAGGGTATGGTCAGGGTCCAAAGCAGACAATATCGTGCTAAGGTGGTGGAGCGGACCCGGAAGTAGTCCCGCCCGGGTCGGGATGTGACATGTTATGATACATGTGAGTGTGGAAAGAAAAACAACATCAAAATTACATTACTATGTATGATTTTATTTTGTAATAGAAAACCAAATTATATTTTCTTGATAATTTTTTTTTATTTATTAATCTGTAGTTTATGCGTTCTAAAAGAAAGAATATTGGTCTCCACCGTCCTATATGCATCAGAGCCTCATTAATTTCATAACTACAATCAATCCAACTTCGTGAATGATGAATAATGATTCAAGAATTATTGAGCAATATGGTCTACAACAATCCTTCCCATCTTTGCGGACAACACTTTATAATTTCATTTTTTTCATCATACAAACAAAATTTCTTTTTTTTTTCCTTTGCTTTATTTAAAGAAAATGGATATTTAATTATTAAAATAATTAGAACAATAGTTCCTAAACTTAGCTTAATTGGAGCTTTGATCCCTAATGTAGGGAGCGTGGTGGTAAATAAAAAATGAAAATGAAATGAATAGGATACGATAGGTATAAAAAAAAAAAAGGATAGATAGGTAGGGTCTGCTATCTCCTAGTGTAATGAGAGACTTGAAAACTCTAAGAAGTTTGTTTCTAGTACCAGCCTACGACGTTGACAACTAGAAGAACAAAATAGCAAGAGAAATGCACTTAAAAATGAGTTTACAACTCAAATTTCAATATTATATTTCAAACAACTTTTCCCTTCTACCTTTCAAATACAACTATATGCAAGCTTACAACTTAAAATGAGAAATATTATAATACTTAAATTTCAGCTGCCACTTATTAAATATAATAATGCCTTTGGTCTATGGCCTACATCATTGTCCCACTCTCGAAGAAAACTCATTCTCGAGTTTTGTTTAGTCTTTCTTGATCTTTTGGATGTCCAACCAAACATTTTCCCAGTAGCCATGTAAAAGCACAAATTTTCCAAGGACTCCAGATCGTAGAGCACTTGAATTTTTTTTTTTTTTCCGTATGCCACCTTCTTATGTTCCATGTAGATTTTAATCTTCTCTTGATGAGAGCAGTTGTATTAGAAAGCACGTAAATTTCCAACAAATATCTTTATTTTATGACTTGAAAAACTGTAGAGATAATTTGAATAATATGAAAAAGTTCTTTGCTCCAAATAAAATCTTGTGACATGACAAGCAACGAATGATTCCCAAACATAATCATAAAAGTAAGGGAAATCAATAAGGGGTTTTACCACCAGGTTTAGCTTCTCAAAATTTGTTCAGTCATTGAACCTAGAACCTCATCACCATTTACTCCATCAAGTATAGGGCAAAATTATAATCCTTACAACGATTAACTTCATGATCACCCAAATATCGATTAGGGCTCTGGTAATCAACTGATGCAAGAGCAGCGTGTTAGTAAATAAAAAAGAAAAAAAAAAGCATAGATAGGTAGGGTCTGTTATCTTTTAGTGCAAAGAGAGATCTGAAAACTCTAAGAACTTCGCTTCTAGTGCCTAGCTACGATGTAGGCAACTAAATGAACAAAGTAACAAACTGTTAAACAAGACAAAGACAATAAAATGATGGAGTGAAATACTCTGAATCTTCCATTAATCAAAACGAGGATAATTTCAAGTCTCCCATCACACTAGGAGATAGTTGACATTTCCTATCTATCCAATCCTATCTTTTTATTTTATTTTTATTTTTATTTACCACCACGATGCGCCCTACATCAGCTAGTAATCAGAGTTAGGAAACATCCAAAGAACGTAACCAAGCTCTGATAACCAACTGATGCAAGGCACAACGTAGTGGTAAATAAAAATGAAAATAAAACAAAGAGATAGGATAGATAGGTAGGGTCTACTATCTCCTAATGTGAGGAGACCTGAAACCCTATACACTTTGGTTCTAATACCAGCCTACAACGTAGACAACTAGAAGAACAAAGCTTCACAACGTAGACAACTAGAAGAACAAAGCTTCAAACTCTTTAACAAGAGAAAGGCACAAAAACCAGGTTCCAACTCAAATTTTAATATGATAATTCAAACAACTTATCTTCCTTCAGCCTTACAAATACTTGTATTTATATGCTTACAACTTAAATGAGAAATATGAAAAGACAAATGAAATGAATACTTACAAGATAACTCCTAAAAAGCTAAAAGATTCAGATAAACATAAGCCACAAACTTAAAGCAGGGATACATGCATTATAGCTCAAAAAAAAATGCATGTATTTTATTATAACATTAAGGTCATCTCCAACCTGGTAGGATAAAGGGTCATAAGCCAAAGGTTAGCCATTTTGACACAAAATCCATTTCCCATGGATGTCTGGGCCAAAAATCTTGGGACCCACTGGGCCAAAATCCAGCCAAATGGACATCAAGATAGCCAGCCAGCTAGCCCGTTCAATTGGGTCTAGCTACGTTGCTAGATGACGTCAGCTAACGTCATGTAAGCTTTTTTCTTTCTTTTAAGACAAAATTTAAAAAATAAAATAAAAAATTATATTTTTTTCCTATAAATACTTGAGTCATTTCTACACAATTTCTCACGTCATTTTCACCATTCCATACTATCTTAACTTGTTTTAATGTCTAAGTTGTTAAAATGCAAGTAAAATTAAAATATTTAATAACATGAATCTTAAACAACATGAAACTTAAAACAACATTTAACAAATAACAACACAATCTCCACTTTAGCGACACATGTCACTCGAAATCCTATCTGAAAAATTATTGAGATTATATCAAGATAACAAATGCAGAGCCTTATTCATTTAGCGACAAGTGACACTCAAAATATGTCTAGAAATATTATTTTAATATAGTATGAAATTGGTACCATGTGGAATAACCTGCAATTTCAAACTCTTTGTGCAACCTTGCTTTACACAAGATGAACTCCTTCGATCTTCACGAAGTGGTAGCTCCTCCTGAGCTCTTCACCTTGTGGCACCGAAAATCCAATCAACTTATGCAAATGATGTTATGATGAAGTTGATGTAAATCAGGATTCAATGTCTAGTCAGTTTCACCAGTTAAACACTTGAAAAATGAAATTGACGAGAATCCAAAAAAAGGTCAGCTCAACAATTAGAAACTAGAGAAGCCTGACCTAAAACAAAGATCAAAACCACAAAAATAATGCAGCCGTAATATGCAATGATCTGCGTATTTAGTGCATGAATGTGATCTTGTGGCTAGGGTTTTC